CATGAGTGTCTGATATTAGGAAAAGCAGAAGAAAAAAGCTTTAAGAAAGGGGTGCTTAAAAGCAACAACAGACGTACTAGATAGCACTTAATGTGGGACAGGCAGTTTATACACTTTCCGTACAGCAATCATTTAATTCTCACAACTCTGTGAGGGAAGAATTGTATTATCTCCATTCTTCAGATGAGGATACTAAAGCACAGAGAAATTAAGTAATTTGCCCAATGTCACACCACTAGAGATTGGCGGAGAAATTAACCCAGGCAGTTCAGCTCCCGAGTCTAAGTTCTTAACCACTAGTGTGTGTCCAATACCACCACTTGGATGTCAAGGAGGAGGAAAACAAAGAAAAAGTCCTTGTGTTCAGCATTTGCTTATTGGTGTTCTGTAGGAAGGCTGTTTTAGGAGGGAAAATATAGGGCAGTGGGGCCAAGTCAAATTGAGAAGACTTAAGGTACGTGCTGCAAATGAATCACAGAAATGCTGTGATAAAGGGTGCCTGTCACCCACAGGGCAGCCAGAGCTTCAGCCTCGTGCACATACCCCACGTGCCACTCAAAGAGCAATATTTTCTGAGTGTGCCACGGGGGGAACAAGTCTGGGAAGCTCTGGGTTAGGGATAGGTGGATGGCTAGCAGTGGAGGCAATACAATCAGTGTGGATGACTGCTTCCAGAAGGGTGTCAGGGAAGGAAAGCTGTTGAGTAAGCAGGATACAGGATTGTGTTGTTTTTGTAGGGTAAAGGGAAGAAGCCAGCACAGAAGGAAGATTGAAGATGCAAGAGAATAAAGGGATCCTGAGTCCCATGGAAACTTCCATCCAGGAGAGAGGAGGAGCAGCCTGGAGGGGAGGCAGGAAGGAAAGGAGAGGTGAGTTTGAGGGGAAGAAGGGGGAAGCTGAGAGCACTTGTATCAGACAGCCCCAATCTATGCAATCACGTAGAAGGCAAAGGGTGAGGGGAACTGGGTGGGACTCACGGGCATGAGCACAATGGAAAAGCTCTGCGATAAATGTGATTCCTAAACAAGAAAAACCAGAGGCACTGAGTGGCAAAGAGGGCTTGGGAGAAAGGAGGGAGCATGTGAGTGTAGAACCTTGCAGCCTGGACCTGCCAACATCCACCTTGCCTTGCTCTTCACCAAATAACCGTTCTGTTCCCAACCTTCAAGACAATGTTTCCTGGAAAAGCCATCTGAAAGACCCAGAGGTGATCCCCTGGGAAAGGACTGAGCCCC